TGGATTTGGCTGAGGGCCATACTTTGTCAACCCCTGAGCTTGAAAGCATATTCTTTTGATCCAGTTTTTCTTATTATCGTTGCCTCCATCAATTATTAACACTGCCTGGAGCTTCCAGAAGAATGGGGGGGAGGGGGTTTGAGGGGACAGCTGCTCATCTTCAATGTGTGTCCACATCTAGGTCCTCTTTGTCTCACATGTGAGAATCTTCCCTTTCTCCAACCTTTACGCCCCCACCCCCACCACCCATGCCATCAACTGTTTTACAAGATGGGGCTTTTAAGAGAAAAGCAGAAACCGGGGATGTCAAGATGATCCTCTTAAATATAAATCTTTTCATGTCATAGAAGAGGAAACTGATACTCAGAAAGGTACAGTCCTTGTCTGGAGTCACTATATTGCTTTAGTGGTAGATCTGTTACTGGACCTGCAGTAGCTGTGCTTGGATCTCAGGCCACTGTCTGTTGCACTGTCTTTTCCTGGCTCATCGGTTGATGAGCTTATTGATGTCACAGCATAGCCTTTGGCTATTTCCACTGACCTGGGCAAGCCACCATGATTTTCTCTCACTTTGTGGTACATTATAATTAAGGTGATGACCATATATCTTAGTTTGCCTGGATGGTTTCAGTTGTCACCCGTATTTATTAATATCATGTCTCTGCTCTCACTCTGCAGAATGTCCTGGTATATAGAGATCAATCATGATCCCTCTCGCACAGTACAGCACAACTCCTTATTGTGTGTGGGCACCTCCATTTGTCATCGTGTGTGTTCTTTTTGGTGCAAAGTCTGTTTGATTAGAGCAGTGAATTTCGTCTTGAAGGAGTTAAACCCACCACAAACACTCACCCCTGTTGCTGTAGTACACACACACAAACATACATCTAGACATGCCCACTGTACCCTATATAATAGTACAGCTCAGGCTTTGGAAACTTCAACGTGGCCTGAACAGACTCTGAATTCCCAGAGTTCTTTCCTTTCCTGGCGTTTGATTTTGGAAGTCAATCAGGATGGACTTCTTTCTTATTCATCGTCATTTGACTTTGTGCCTGTACACATGCCAGGCTCATAAACACATGGAAACTATAGGCATTCATCTATATCCATCTGATAGCTAGGAGGAGGGAGTGGGATGAGGATTGTATAGAAATTACATGGGCTTTTGCTTTCGTTATTACGTATTTCTGCATTTGAAATTTTTTTATATGACACACAGTTGTATTATAAACAACTTGTGTCATCAGAAAATAAAGTTGTTGAAAAGTCTAAAACTAAGGAAAAAACTATTAATAACTGCCACTGCAAAAAATCTTTGACGGAAATCCAGCACCCCAGAATGTTCAGAACCATTTGAGAGAACGCTTGTTCACAGAAAGTGGGTCTCGTCTCGAATCTCAACCAGGATATTGGTTGGAAGAATTCTCTAGTTGTAGTCTGGCTTTCCTTTAGAGTTACTTTTATTGTTTATTTTTTGTATTTTAAGTTATCCTAAATACAGCAGTCAGACAGGAGTAATTAGACATAAGTCACCTCGTTATAAGTTTTTTTTCAGATTTTTTTTTCGACAAAAGAAAAAAGAAAAGCAGATGAAAATGTAATACAGGAAGACAAGTTTATTAAAAGCTGTAGCTATAGAAAATAGCATCGCAAGCTTGATGACTTAATTTCCTTTCTGCTTTTATTGATCAATTTATTATATAAGGCAGGATTGATCGGATTTCCAATTATGAGTCCCCACCTTAGAGAACTGTGCCTGTCAAGTTACCCAGCCATGATCTTGTCCCTTCTCCCCCATTAAAAAAAAAAAATGTTACTTCCCAAGGCTGATAAACACTGCTTGGTGATTGGTCCTCAATGGATCACTTCTTAGAAAATGAAATGTCAACCCCTTGGCCTCCTATTGATTCTTCTTTAGTGTCGGACATAAAGCTGTCACGGAAAGGCTGCCTGGAGCCAGGTAGCTGACAGGCTTTGCAGCGGCCGATGCACACTCAGCTGATTCTTCTCCGCAAGCAGGTTGTGTGCTCTGTCATAACGGACCGCAGATGTTTAAATGGGACAAGAACAGGTGAGAAGAGAAGAGACAGGTAGTGCAGACAAAAGTCTGGTCCATGCTTTTAGTGAGAGTACAAATGAAAGATGGTAAATGGTACCCCTAAAATCATCTCACCACCCTGCAGCCAGCCATCTGGAAGAGCGACAGATGAAACATCCTAGCCTGGAAAATGATGCGGCTGCTTCTTGCCTCTTAGAGCCATGGGTAGTTGATGGCAGAATGGATGCGAGGGACGGACCCCTTATAGGGTGATTCCCTACACTGCTGATGACATGGGAGATTGTTTCAAGAGGTAGATGGGCAGAGATCCACACACTGAGAAAAGTTTCAGTCCTTCCTATTACTTCAAAGGACAATCTGTTTGCTAATTTGTCATTTAAGAAAGAGGAAATGCCGTCAGGCTCACAGCTAGTATCTTGCTGGATTTTTTTTTTTTATAGCAATTGTTTATTTTATTATATTTACTTTATATGGAGAAATATGAGCTTTAGGCAAGTCAGAGTAATCTTTAATTTTTCCAATGAGAAGATCCACTTTTTTCTTTTGACCAACTTGGAAGTGTAAACATTTGGGGATCTCAGTGAAAGAATGAAATTCCTAAATTTATACATTTTATTTATATATTTAAAATAATATACAGAATACATTGACTTAGATTTATTGTATGTTTTTACCATCCACATTATGTTGAGGAAATTAACTTACATTTTTTATAGGCACCTTTGATCTGTGTCTTCCCGTGTCACTTATCACATACGTTATAATTTAAGGATTCTGTCAGCTTTTCAGAGAATGTAATTGTGCCTGCCATCTGGGTGGTTTAAGGTACAGCATTTCTTGTATCTATGGAATGCTGTCTCTAGAAGTCTTCCTAAACTGCATATGCACATTCTGTTGGCACCATTTCCTTCTACTCCTGTAGGTACACATTTGTGATCTCCACGGTGTGACCACTTTATTGCTTTTGAAAGTGATTTTTGACTGTTAACAATGACATCCTAAAATGCAATGATAAGGTCATAACCTCAGGACTAACGAACTTAGTGATCAACTGTGTTAAATTCCTCTGACAACTACCTCCCCCTTTTATATTAATGATTTTTTCAGTTTACCTCCAAGCATCCTAAATAGTATTAATTCAGGTTGCTTTGGGCCAGTGTGTCTTCCCCAAATAGTATTTTATTGTTCAGTATGTATGAGAAACACTTTTAAGAAAGAATTAGAATGCAAGATGAGTTCCTCTTTTCTAAAGGACAGTTGGTGACCAGAGACAAGTACTGCCTGATAGCCAGCCGTAGGTGGCGTTTCTACTGACCTTCTGATGATCTCCGGTGCTGCCGGGTTTCCATTTATGTTAGGGTTATAAAGTACCCCTTTTACCTGAATTAAAGAAGGGAGTTAATTGATTTTAAGAAAAAAATGAAATGGCTATGGCAAAATTTGTGAAGGAGGTACACATACGGCTCAGGGTAGGAAACTACTGGCATCTTGTATATTAGGAACTTGAGGCCTAGAGAGGAGGTTAAACAGTTAGCTGCACAGGGTCATACAGCTAGTTAGTTGCCTGATCAGGACAGAAGTCCATCTCTCCTGACTTCCATTGCTGGCCTAGATAGATTATTTTAATGTCTTCTGGACTGAAAACATTGACCTACATCAAAAGTTAGCATTGACAACTGTAGCAAACCAGAGCTTCGGGAGTCTCCGTCACGATGTACCATTTGTGATGTGTGATTTGATGTGTAATCTAACACATGCTATAAGGTCAGACCTTGCAAGTTAGTTTTATCTTCTTTGCAAGGTTACGATTTTCCACTTCGGAGCTGAAACTGTTCCCGTAATGCTAAAACAGTCACCATTCAGACTCTATCTTCCCCAGTGTCCTAATTGTAATATTATGGTCACATAAGAATGAATACACTTAAATGTTAGCCTAAATTGGCTCTGATGAAGTCGTGTAAATTCCTACAATTAGTTGGCAGATGGTACTGCGGGAACATTTCTAAACAACCTGTGTGTCCTCGTGTGGTTCAGTTCCACGTGGCCATGTCAAAATGTTGCTCATGAAGAACATGTAGCCATCATTTGGTGCAAGAACAATGACAGCTTAAGGAAGGGGAGAAAGAAGAATAGCTTGGATGCATCTGCATAGGTGATGCCATTAAACGCTGGAAAGTGTCCTCCTGGAGCTATGCTAGTTATCACATTGCTTTATCTTCTTTAATCTGCACTTTAGCTGAATAAATTACTTACCTTTTGCTAATTCGTTTTGGAACAGTGAGCCCCATCAGTCAAACCCATCGACTTGATCAGGGAAGTCAGTATTTTACTAAAAGTGGGGTGCGTGCTGGGCCCTGTCACACTTCGCTCCACTATTTTGTTGGTTTTATCGGGTAGTCAAGGTGCCAGGAACAACACACTGGTTGGGAGGGCAGGGCTGGGGTCTCATGCTGTCCCTGGACAATGTCTGTTAATACCCTGATTCCGCCTCCCTTTGACAGAGGCGAGCTTAGACACAGGCTTTCAAAGTTTCACCTGCAGAGGAGTCTCTTTACCTCCTGCAGTTAAAAGGTTCCATGTTTCCTTCGGGAGCATTCACTCACAAACCACTCCCCTCCTTCCCCCCTTTTTTTAATCAGCTTGCCCACGTCTCAATAATTAGAAAATCTTCCACAAAGGTTTCCTTCTGTCATTCAGGTGATCTGCCTTGGATGTCAATTTAGCACTCTTTTAGGCGATGTGGTTTCCTCTGGTCTGGCTGACCCAACGATAAGCTTCCATAGGCTTTCTTTCTCTGGACAATAACGAACACATTGTCCCACCCTGAGCCTAAGGAGAAAGGGTCATCAGGTGACAAAGGTAGAGCAGGACTCAGGCTTTTTAGTTTTAAGGATATTATTAAGTAGCTAATAGGCTACAATTAGCTTTTGAACAGTAATCCCTGTGTTTCTTTGTCAGCATTCCCTGTACTCTACCGGGGTCTTCTCCTCCAAGTAACACTCCAAGTAAAGTTTCTTGATAGGGAGGGTGGGAGGGAGGGAGACGCAAGAGGGAAGAGATATGGGAACATAAGTATATGTATAACTGATTCACTTTGTTATAAAGCAGAAACTAACACACCATTGTAAAGCAATTATACTCCAATAAAGATGTAAAAAAAAAAAAAAAAAAAATACACCTTCTACCAGAAAAGCTGTCCTTCAGAGTTGAAGGAGAGAGAAAGAGTTTTCCAGACAAGCAAAAGATAATGGAGTTCATCACCACTAGACTGGCCTTACAAGAAATGTTAAAAGGACTTATTTAAGCTGAAACAAGAGGGTGTTAATTAGTTGCAGGAAAACATATGAAAGTATAAATCTCACTGGTAAAGGTAAATATGCAGTAAAAATCAGAATAATTTAAAGTTGTAAGGTTAATTACTTACAAAGCTTGTAGATTAAAAGACATGAGTAGTAAAAACAGCTATAACTACAATACTTTGCTGAGATACACAAGATAAAAAGATGTAAATTGTGACATCAAAAACATAAAACAGGGCTTCCGTGGTGGCGCAGTGGTTGACAGTCCGCCTGCCGACGCAGGGGACACGGGTTCGTGCCCCGATCCGGGAAGATCCCACGTGCCGCGGAGCGGCTGGGCCCGTGAGCCATGGCCGCTGAGCCTGTGCGTCCGGAGCCTGTGCTCTGCAACGGGAGAGGCCACAACAGTGAGAGGCCCGCGTACCGCAAAAAAAAAACCCAAAAAAACGTAAAACATTGGCGGGGAGGGAATAAAAATAGAGAGTTTTATATATAAAAAAAAAAATACACCTCCTAATTTACTTCCTCCTTCTATGTTCGGAAGCCTGAGGAGGGGGTGGGCAGGTCAGCCTTGTAATGTCCCTGCCATTTTACCTCTCCTCTGGCTTTGCACAGATTTCATGAATATGTTGATGGAAAATGGCACTCCTGGGCTGCTTGAGGCTGCCCCTTTCTTTTGGTATCTACAAGGGTCTTTTGTTTGTTTGTTTGTTTTTGCGGTATGCGGGCCTCTCACTGTTGTGGCCTCTCCCGTTGCGGAGCACAGGCTCCGGACGCGCAGGCTCAGCGGCCACGGCTCACGGGCCCAGCCGCTCCGCGGCATGTGGGATCTTCACGGACCGGGGCACGAACCCGTGTCCCCTGCATCGGCAGGTGTACTCTCAACCACTGCGCCACCAGGGAAGCCCTCTACAAGGGTTTTTGATGAACTCTCTGACAATTTAAAGTTGGGACAAAAGCTTCCCTGCTCGATGCATTTTTTCTTCTTTGAAGGAAAGAAATTCAAATCAGTATTCGAGATCTAAAGTGGTTTAAAACATATACTTGTAATTTTAGATAATGCTTTTAGGAGCTCTGATAAGGTACAATATCCCGGGCTGGCAGGACCCTATCACACCCTTGGGACCTAGGCACGCATTTCCCTGACATAAAATGCTATTTTCATAGTCCCTGACCTAACACTCTTATATTTCCTTTAAAAGGAGAAGGGAGGGGGAGTTTTGGAGGGGACTACATCTTTCATACAAATGTTTGGTTTCAGGATGTTGAAACCTGTTTAGCTTCTTTGATGAAGCAATGGATTTTGAGAGCAAGTGGAATCCAATTTAAGTAGATTTACTGATATAAAATGTACTATGACTTATAATTAACTCTCACCAGCTATCGTCATATAACTTCATCCATGCTGGGAGAGGCATGTGAGGTAGTGAGCTAGATGGGGCAGACACACTCCTCCTGTATTTGCTAGGAGGGTCGTGGGTAAATGACTTGCCCTCCTGCCTCCATGTTCTCATCTGTACAATGGGACTGAACATGTGTCTGTCTGCCTGATTGCTTTCATAGGGTTGTTGAGAAGATGCCATGAAATGTTATATGGGAAGGCTCTTTTAAAAGTTAAATACAAAGTAAAAATGCAAGCTATTATTTGGGACTGAATGACTCGCACTTTGAAGTGAACTCTAGTGACTGAGGTCTCTGTTTACTGAGCTGGTTCCTGCTTTGCAGACAGTTAGGGGAAGAGATAATATATGTGATGAGAGCACTTTGAAAAGTTAAATGCAGTGTAAAAATGCCAAGTATTATTATTTGCAAGGGAATTATACACACAGAGGAACATCTGTAGGCTCTGAGGGTCTGACTGCAGAGCTGGTTCCTGCGTTGCTGACAATTAGGAGAGGAATGTGGGTGAAGGGCTGGGACACGTGACTGTGACTGGGCTGCTCTCTGGTGGCACTGCGTGGCCCTCTCTCTTTTCCATGACCATCCTGCCCTTCTTGACTTGTTCAAAGTGCAGGGGTTCAGGTTATCAGATTCAGACAGGATCACACTGCTGCGACCCCCTGTGGCCACCAGGGACTCTTGTCACCACAGAGCCTGTTTCCTCACATATAAGAGTCTTGACGGACCTCATCTTTAAAGCTCTAAGAAAATTACAAGATGATTATAAAGTGCAATATAAACTTGACATTTTTGACAGAAACATACATGTACATATTTTATTCACTAATACGGTCTCATCTTCCAACTTTACAGAGTTCTAATATGGACTGAGTTGATTTTCCAATTTAACATACATACACATAGACACATATATATGTGTCTATGTATAATGTATCAAGATGACTGATTCAAGAATTATATATATTCAAGCTTTCTTTTTCCCAAGACTTTTTATAACCAAGCCTGAGCTCACTCCTATGGGACACTGAGAGCAGAAGGCCAACTGTAGGACCATACACTGTATTTTGGAGAAAAGAATTAGGCAACAAATGGAAACTTGTTTTTTGTTTTGTTTTGTTTTTATTTGGTTGCATGGGGTCTTAATTGCGGGATCTTCGTTGTGGCACGTGGGGGGTCAGTAGTTGCAGCACGCGGGCTCTAGAGCACACAGGTTTAGTTGCCCCACAGCATGTGGGATCTTAGTTCCCTGACCAGGGATCGAACCCAAATCCCCTGCATTGGAAGGCAGATTCTTAACCACTGGGCCTCCAGGGAAGTCCCGGATCCTTATTTTTACTGCTGCAAGTTTTCTACAAACTCTGTTTACCTTTTAAATTGTCGTTAATCATTTAGGAATTTGTATGCAGCAGCTGAAGCCAATAACCACAAAACTATTGTTTTAAGAATATCATATAATAGGATAATGAGTTTTTTTGTGGTGAAAGCAACAGGGCTTACTATTACTTATCACATACTGACTACGATTGCCTTTGATGTATGCAGAATTCACCTAGGGAAACTTATTTTAATTCAGAATATGTATGTGGGGAAATTAGCCAGTAAACTTCTAATCTATTTTCAATACAATAAATTTCTCCTGGGGATTTAAAATTATAATTGTATTATAAAATATTTGCTGTATCACCTCAGTTTAATACTGTGGTTACGAGCAAAGACTCTGGACTCTGCGGTGACAAGTTACTTACCCTGTTATTTCACCTCCCATAAACCTCAGTTTTCTCATCTGTGAAATGTGCATTACATATCTGCCTGACTTATATTATGGTAGTAAAGAACTTGTGGTTTACAGATTTTGAAAATATTGTTTTTTATCTTTTAATAGACGGAGTAAATACAGTAAAGCGAAACAAGAAGCAGACGAAGAGAAACATTTGAACCAAGGTACAGAAAACTGGATTGAAAATAATTTTATTTTTAGAGCATGTCTCGTGTTTTCAGTTTAGAAATGTCTAAATAATATTCACATGGCTATTAATATTATATTCCTTTCATGAAATTATCCAAATAATGTACTTCAGGGTTTCAAACTGAAATAGGTGATTGGTATTTTTTTTTAAGTGAAATTAAAGATGGAGGTTGGATAATTTCCTTAGATGCTTCTTTTTCCTTATCTTATCCTCCAACCTGAAAAAGTGTTGTTCTAGCTGGCTCATTTTTGTAGCTGGGTGGCAAGATTTAGAAGGTCACAATTTTTCTCTTATTATAAGGTAAACATTTTGGAGACAGTAGAATAAGAAATAGAACACACCACAGAATATGTGCTGTGGAATTCAGGACTATCAATATTTCTTTAGTGGATTTTCGTTATTTTGATATTCCAAGTGGAGTCAAAGACTGAATTCAAAGAATCGGCTCTGAATGACTTGAGCAAGATAGAAAACTCTGGAATGGACAGTGGTTGGTGTCTCTCCAGGAGTTCTGTCCACGAGAACTTTCTGAAGTGATGGCAGTGGTCTTTATCTGCACCATCTAATTGCATTAGCCAAGGGGCCACAAGCACCACTGAATACTTGAAAAGTAGTGAGAATGAGGAAGTGAATTTTAAATTTTATTTAATTTTAACTGATTTATATGTAAATAACACCGAGTGGTTAATAGCTACCTTATTAGTACAGGGAGGTAGAGGGCTGGAAGAATAATCCTGAGAAAGGTTTTCTTGGCTAGAGCATGTGAAGTGATGAAGGGTCATGGAGTGTCTGATAATTTTCCATTTGTTCATCTTGTTTCCTTTCTAAAACCACACTTTCTCATTTGCATGTGGTATATATTTTTAAAAACAAAAATGATGCATTTTTTTGAGATGAGGACAAAACTGACAGTCTTGGAAAATCAAAGGGTTTGAGCCAACCGGTATCCTACACCTCTCAGCGCCCCAAAGCCCCAAGAGCTCGAGCAGGGAGAGGCGGGGTATAAATGCCAGTGGAAAGTTCCCAGTAATCTCTTTTTTTTTTTTTGCGTTACACGGGCCTCTCACTGTTGTGGCCTCTCCCGTTGCGGAGCACAGGCTCCAGACGCGCAGGCTCAGTGGCCATGGCTCACAGGCCCAGCTGCTCCGCGGCATGTGGGATCTTCCCAGACCGGGGCACAAACCCGTGTCCCCTGCATCGGCAGGCAGACTCTCAACCACTGCGCCACCAGGGAAGCCCCCCAGTCATCTCTAATGCATCTTGTCCCGGACATCTCTGGCTGCCCCAGAGCTCACATTCCGAATTCAGTTTACCAGTGACTATGGGGTGTGGCCGAATTACCCTTCTTAGTATTTAAACCATTGATTCGCCGAAGCTTCCAGGTGAAATTCAATGTCTTTTCTTACAGCACTTTCTTTCCAAAACAGAATAAAAGTGGAACTCCAATACAGAGTTTGTATTTTCAAATCAAATAGCAGATACTATCCCTCTTGTCCACTTAACCTAGGTTTAATCTTAGTTTGTTAATTGTTGTCAATTGTTGGTCCAGATATGAGGCAAAAGATGATATCTTGTATCACAGGTCATTTGAGAAAGTTTCTATCATCTTCCCTAAGGGAAGAAAGCTGGAGATGGTGGGTAGGATGTGAGCAACTGATTGGGACAACAATATTTATTTAATTTTAAATTGTGTTTAGTTTTTTTTGTTGTTGAATTTTATTTTATTTTTTTTTATACAGCAAGTTCTTATTAGTTATCCATTTTATACATATTAGTGTATACATGTCAATCGCAATCTCCCAATTCATCCCACCACCACCCCCCCCACTCCCCTCACCACTTTCCCCCCTTGGTGTCCATACGTTTGTTCTCTACAACCGTGTCTCAATTTCTGCCCTGCAAACCGGTTCATCTGTACCATTTTTCTAGGTTCCACCTATATGTGTTAATATGCGATATTTGTTTTTCTCTTTCTGACTTACTTCACTCTGTATGACAGTCTCTAGATTCATCCACGTCTCTACAAATGACCCATTTTCGTTCCTTTTTATGGCTGAGTAATATTCCATTGTATATATGTGCCACATCTTCTTTACCCATTCGTCTGTCGATGGACATTTAGGTTGCTTCCATTACCCGGTTATTGTAAATAGTGCTGCAGTGAACACTGGGGTGCATGTGTCTTTTTGAATTATGGTTTTCTCAGGGTATATGCCCAGTAGTGGGATTGCTGGGTCATATGGTAGTTCTATTTGTAGTTTTTTAAGGAACCTCCATACTGTTCTCCACAGTGGCTTTATCAATTTACTTTCCCACCGACAGTGCAGAGGCTTCCCTTCTCTCCACACCCTCTCCAGCATTTGGGACAGCAATATTTAGATAACACATTCCAAATTTCCTTATAGAGACTCTCTTTTCTTCCACGGGATAGGTTGTTTTTAAAATTTCCTCCCTGAAGTGTGAAGACATTCCAGGAACTCAGTAGAGCTACAGCCTCTTAAGTAGCAAACAATTCTTATTTACCCACTAACGAAACCCGGAGCAAGAATGTAAACATTTTCTTATGTCTACGCTAAGTATTTTTCTCACAGTAAGAAAATTTTTTCTGTGCTGAATATTTTTAGACCCAGAGAACTTCAGTGTATTAGTGGTTCCTGAGAAGTGTTCCGCCAACCTTTTGCATGTTTATTACTCAGGTGTTAGAACTTACGTGGATCCCTTTACGTACGAAGATCCCAACCAAGCAGTTCGAGAATTTGCCAAAGAAATCGACGCATCCTGCATTAAGATTGAAAAAGTCATAGGAGTTGGTAAGTGTCTGTGTCTATAAGCCTGTTTTCTTTGTGGATATTAAATATATGTATGTGGATTATATAAATGCATTAGAATGTATTGTATGTGCCTGTATATGTAAATATCTGTGTACCTGAAATTTCCTTGATCTACATAAAACACCAGCACAGTGCCTACTGTATAATAAGCACTCAACAAATGTTAGCTATTGGCTGTTATTCCTTCTCCTTGAACGTGTTTCTGGTTCAGAGTCAGTTCTTTTTCTCTCCCAAAGGTGAATTTGGTGAAGTATGCAGTGGGCGTCTCAAAGTGCCTGGCAAAAGAGAAATCTACGTGGCTATCAAGACTTTGAAAGCTGGTTATACAGACAAACAGAGGAGGGACTTCCTGAGTGAGGCCAGCATCATGGGACAGTTTGACCACCCAAATATCATTCACTTGGAAGGCGTTGTCACCAAATGTATGTGCGTCGCTCCCTTTACAAAGCCAAGTTAGAAGTTACTGGCAAATTAAACACACATTTTCTTTCCAGGGAAATGACAGATGGAGCAGACCCACTGATTGCTAATAGGAGGAAATCAGTGCAGGACAAGTCATTAATCTTGTAGTCATTTCTAAATGGGGGTATGGTGTAGGCTGATACCCTATTTCCAAGGCAGCTTGTGTGAGATTTTAGCGAAATTAATATTGCAGATTTTTGGTATGCCTTGCCATCTTTCAAATCTTCGCTAGACCAAACTGATTGTCACAGGATAGGCGCAAGCAGATGGTAAGCAAAATAAATTTTAAGTACTTTTCATATAAAACACAACAAAACCTCACCACACCTTATGTTCGAAGCTTGGGTTCCAGATGCAGGGAGTGCACCTTGGTCATCTATTATATTGGGGGATTTGCTTGTCTGCTCTGCCTGATTTATGGAGCTGCAGTTGCAGTTCAGCACCTATTTCCAGGAACACCTGGTTGCACCTTCCTTTTTTAGTCCATTAGCATTCGCTCAGCCCATGAACCACGCTTCCGTTAAAATATGACACAGCTCAAAAGATGCATTTTGCGAAGCAGACCCTGAATACACCTGTAAGACTGGCTAAGACCAACTTGTACAGCACCACATGGACAGGGCAGCTGAAATGGTTACTATTGAAGGTGGCTCTGTTCCAGAAGCCTTAGTACCTATTATAGTTACTACAAGTCAAGGATCTTGTAAGCCTGGGGCTGTGTCTCCAGGACAGCCAAAGTGCCATTTAATTTGATACCAGGTGCCTGGGAAAAGCGTCCTCCATCAACCGGTGCAGAGTGGCTGCCACAGTGGGTGAAATGGAGGTGTAAACGTTGGATGTTAGGTCTGGGGCAAAGGGGGTAGTAAGACACAAGGGTACACAATCTTTAGACAGGGAAAATTTGGAAATTACTAAAAAGTGAGAGCAGATATACACTAATTTAGAGGTCCTCAAACTTAAACATACATCAGAATTCTGGAAAACTCATTAAAAAGACACTTTCCTGGGCCTCATCTTCAGAGGTTTGATTTAGTGAGTGGGAGCCCATGAGTTCCCATTTCTGAAGAGCTCAAGGTCAATCAAGCTATAGTCCCTGGAACCACACTTTGAGCACCTTTGGCCTAGTGACCAAAGATTTACACATCATCTACTGCTAGTAATTTATGAGGCCTTGACTAGTTGCTCAAGTTCTCAGTTTCCTCATCTGTAAAATAGAGATAAAAATGGAATGAAATATTTAGCATGTTTGCCATAATGCTTATTTAGCAAATTAAAAAAAAAAAACAACTAAGTGTTAACTGGCATTATTATGTCTTAAAAAGTACATCTTTCCCCATCTTCGGAATCCTTCAAAAAAGGAACCTTGATGCTAAGGGTATATAAGTTTTCACCTAAGGTGAAGTCTATAATTAACATAGAATAGCTCTATTTGCTTTTTAAGATGAGTTTTACAGACAGAATATTTTTCCTGTGGCCTGTGGAGCTGCCCAGAGCCCTTCACTACTTTAATTAAAAGATAACATTCCCTTTAAATACTTCTGCAGGTCCATTTTCTCAAAAGGAGGCTCTGTTCAACTTGGGGTGTTTTTCCTGGGGCAGACAGTGATTTTTGTAGCACCTCTGCAGAAGAGGGAAGAAACGGGATCTTTGTGACCTCTAAAACCCATGGCTATTACAGCTGTAACTGTTACAAACGACTGGGTGCATTTGCATAATGCACTTGTCACTGAATTAAAATGGTTTAAAATTTCCACCAGAGGAGCCATCCCCTTCCCCCCACCCTTCCGCTCCCCATTGCCTCCCTGCCTGTTCCGGGAAAGGGTCTGTCTCTACCCTGGAGCCCAACCTGGACCCATTTCATGAGCCCCTCTGTGCTTACGGAGACATTCATCTTTATTTCTCTTGTAGAGCTCATAAATATTCTGACAAATGGATACTTTTCATAGACAAAAAAATGGAGAATAATTGTGAAGATAGTGCCAACAGTCAGACTAGGGAGGGGTGAGGGTGAAAGAGTGGGAGAGTGTGAATTCATGACTGGACTTCCTTGAGTAACTATGTAAATGGACAGGGAGACTATAAATTCTTGCCAGTACCCCGCAGATCTTCTCCTTGCTTCCCCACATTTCCAGAGGGATCTGGTGAAATGGAAGTAGGTGTTAATGCACCATCAGGGGAGTCACCCCTTCTCATGAGTTGACAAAGTATCATTTGATTGAGGCAGGTTAATTAAAACTCATTTAGATGCATTTGTTCTATGTGGTCACAGATGCAGAGGGTAAATGAGTCTGAGGACTAAAGGCTTCCTAATAATATTGACGGAGGATGGAAAGGTGTACGGGGACCGCTCCCTCCAGCCAAGGGGAAAGAGATTAGAAGTGGTTTTGACTCATCCTTTGGTCTACACCGAGATTCCTGCTTTTTCTGCCTGCTTTCATTCATCACTTGAAAATTAAATGTTCGTGGTGGTGTTTTCTAATCCAACATTTTTGCCTCAGAAAGATTTCTTAGGCACGGTACCAAATGTTCAATCGAAGAACAAATTGATAAATGGGACTTCATTGAAATTAAAAACGTCTGCTCTTCTAAAATTTTGCCTCTGAAATGAAGACACTTCTCCTTTCCCCACACCAGTACAGAGTCTCATCTGATAGGGGCTCTGGGCGGGAAATGTACTCGTTTAGAATAATTCTGGGGGCTTTCCGGCAGTGGCACAGCCCAGCCCATTTTCCCTGACTGGATGTCTACGTCCAAACAGTCCACAAGGACAGCAATGAATGTTTTTGATTTTTCAAACTAACATTTTATTTTCACAGGAACTCTTCTGTTCTCTTGGCTTTACCCCTTGCCTTAGTAAAATATCGAAGATTTACACCCCACTGCCACAAATACCCTTTAGAAAGAAGGAATTTCAGACCTTGAGTGCATTGCCAGGGATTAAGAAACTAAAGAATGATCCTTATTTCCTAAGGTCCTCAGAAAGAAAACCAAAGTGAAATGAAAGTGTTTCCCACTTCTCTCAAAGCTTAAAATCATTCTGATTTCTTTGCTTAGAGAAGGGAGAAGGGCACACAAAGGTTCTAGTCCTGAATTAAAATCGCTGCCTAGGATGAAATCACTTATTGACCCTTTTCTGTGATTTTGTTGTTGCTGCTGCTGAGGTTGGCAGCTTAAGGAAGCAAATAGACTGAGTTTATTTATAGGTAGGAAAAGGGAAAAGAAAGGATATAGCCCCTGGCCTGAGTGAGGCAGGGGGAAAAGCTAAGATGGTACATGCTTGAACTTTAAGATGAGTCTGGGTAATGAAGTATCCAACGTAGCTCCCAGAAGCTTGGGTTCCTCTAAATAGGTAAGAAAAAAAAAAGTTTCTCTGTTCATGATTCCTTTAGCATTGTACAAGTGGCTCTTCTGGGGACAGAATTAATTAATTATCTTAAAGATTTTTTTCTCCTTTAAACGGGCCATTTATCTCCTTCTCCATTTGCTTGAGAGAGCAAATACCCATCCACGTGCTCCCTGGATACCAGAGACCACTTTATTAAAGACCTTGTCAACAAGCCACCCAAAGGGTTAACCTTCCAGATGGAATTTAAACCTACTCGTCCTTTTAATATTTCATTCCTAGCTCCCCACAGCTGAGGCATAAGCTTGGCTTGTTTTAATTAAATTAGATCGCACAAGACAGGTGTCCTGGCAGGAAAATTGCGCACAGCCCATTTTTATCTCATTAACTGCAGTGCTCATCAAGGGTTTTGTGTTTTTCTTTCTGGAAACTCTAGGTAAACCAGTAATGATCATAACAGAGTACATGGAGAATGGCTCCTTGGATGCATTCCTCAGGGTATGTGACTGCTTTATATTAAACCCAAGAATGTTGGTATTTAGAAAACTCTAACAGACTTCGAGTATTTGTTCTGTTTGGTTGTATTCATGGACTTTTTTCTAATGAGGCAAGGGAAGAAGAGGAGAAATAGAGAATGATGTGATCTTTAAAGGCTCTTCAATAATCCACGTACAAGGAGGGTAGTATTTGATTTATTCTTGTATCATGGGGCTGTTTGAGCCATAGATTCATTGCAGTTGGATAATTTCCATCTATTACAGGAAGCAAACCCAGCTCCTAGGATATACTCTACTCATGAATTAGTGACTTTGGTCAAAAAGGCCCGGAAATCATATTGAGTTTCACTGCACACCGGATACAGATATCAAAAAAGATCCAAGTAATAAATGCCTGGTGAAAATTAATTTGGCCTAATGCTAATGAGATTGTACCTTATTTCTTTCCTCTGCAGAAGAATGATGGCAGATTTACGGTCATTCAGCTGGTGGGCATGCTTCGTGGCATTGGGTCCGGGATGAAGTATTTATCTGATATGAGCTACGTGCATCGAGATCTGGCTGCACGGAACATTCTGGTCAATAGCAACTTGGTCTGCAAAGTGTCTGATTTTGGCATGTCCCGAGTGCTAGAGGATGATCCAGAAGCAGCTTATACCACCAGGGTAAGAAAGGTTTGTGACCTCTGGGCTTTGACTCTGATGAAACTGTTCCTCTCACTTTGATGTTTTAAAGCCTCTGTGATTTTTACAAGTTTCCTCATCCTTCAGAGCCCCTTCCTAGCCATGCATCCATTTTTAAACCATGTTTCCAAGAGGGATTTTGAAACAGCCTCTAGATGTGTGACCACTTTACAAAGCCACAAGTTAGAGCGTCACTTGTTATTGTATTTTTTCACACTTAATCTACCTTCCTTCCTTCCTTTCTTCTTGTTTGTTTTAGATTTTCTACTTGGTTCCTTTTTATTATTTTTAAAAAAATCTTATTTTAAACAGGACAGAACACTATTTCTAGTCGGCTGCCTACCAAACCTGAGAATGTATATACAGGGTTTATAAAACATTTACACTACGCAAGGTTTCCCAGTATCTAATGGCCTGCGTTTTACTACTGGTAGATAAGCCAGGATTAAGGCACAGTTAAGAGTTATCAGTATACAGTTAATGGCTATGCTATCTTAGCCGGACAATCTGAATATAAGATACTAATGGAATAAACACAGAATCATAAAAGTTATTGGCCATTAGGGCTGACACTGTTAAAATCAACATGAAGCAGACCAGCCATTTTCTTCTTTGAATGCTCACCATTTTGCATCTACAATGGTAAGCATTGGGGTTTTTTGGTATAGTTCGTTGGGGGTGTGTATGTGTGTGTGTATGTGTGTGCGTGTTTTCTGGTAGTGTTCAGTTTCTTTGGCTGTAGTTTTGATTCTTACACATACCCTCTTCTGAATTCAAAGTCCATTCATTCAGGAAAGAATACATCCTTGTCCATGCTAAAGACTTTTTATTTTTCCCCAGTAGTTGGAGAAAGGAAAGTAAAAGGAAGCTTCTAGAATGATACATTTGTATAGCCAAAATATTTAAGGAAGGCAGAAGGCAGCACAAGTGTCTTGCTGTATGGAACAAGCATAAATGTAATACAGTGTATTTTCAGAGTAAACTGCAGTGAACCAATGCAATTTGCAGTACAATTTACTGGCCTGTTTAGTAGCTCTAATAAAGCAAACTTTAAAATGATGTCCTCTTGAACACCTTAAGGGTCTGGATTGAAGTTGAATTAATTTCCCCAGATGGAACCCTAAGAAATTTGAAACTCCATTAAAAATACCTTGCACATAAGCATAATCAAACAAGAGACATTTGAGACCTTTAAACTTTTCTTGGGTAATATTCAATTGCTTTACCATTTTTGCAGGGTTGTTTTAGAAAAGTAAATAATAATCAAAATCTGGCCCTCCTGCCATTAAAGTTAATAATGGCTCTAGCATCTGGTATTATTTGACTTCCTCTAAGAGCCTGTTTAGCATATTATCTTCTAGCTACGTTGGTCATGTTTCTCGTGCTCTATAGGAGTTGGATGATGGTGGGATGGATAGAAATGTTCATATTTAACTTTTTTAGGTCATGATTTCCAAAGCAGTATTAAGTATTGCCTTTGTGCTGCTGGGTGAGAGAATCTAACAAGAAGTCAAAATTACTGTCAGCTGCACATCCATTGATATATACCACGGATAACATGTGTATTTTGTAAAACCTAAAATGTCCTTTCTTCTACAGTATTGCCTTAAGTAGAGCTCAGATAACAGGTAGGCTTTTTAAAACAATAATTAAACATGAGTTGCTTACTTCCCTGGGACTAAAGAAAACATATGAGAACTGTCTCAACCTGGAAGATTTTAGTTAGAATAAACAAATATCCTGTTATCGTTTGGACAGCTATCTCAGGAATGCTGTTGCCCTGCTTAGCAAACAGTAACAACATTCAGAAACTAAAATGGCACATCAGTGTACTTGGGGGATAACCTAGAGCTTGAATGTTCACAGGGTGGCAAGATTCCTATCCGGTGGACTGCACCGGAAGCAATCGCCTATCGTAAATTCACATCAGCAAGTGATGTATGGAGTTACGGGATCGTCATGTGGGAAGTGATGTCGTATGGAGAGAGACCCTATTGGGACATGTCCAATCAAGATGTGAGTCTTTATGTTCTGAAATACATGTCTTTGCATTAATGTATGATGGAGTGAGTGTTGAGCTTGAAATGATACATTAAACTTAAAATTCTTAATACAGATGTGTCTAGTAATCTAGCTAAAACTTATAGTCCTGGATTTCCAGGACCAAAATTACAAAGCCTTAATGGTATAATATGGGAGATAGATAGATAGATAGATAGGTGCATAGCTTGATCGAGTAGTGATACGGAACAGTACTTTTACTTGGTTAACTTTCAAACCCATACTGAAATAAAATTAAACCTTCAATTTTAAGAAAATGCAAGGATATCTGAAAAACACAAATTTCACATGAGATGAAACTGACATGAAAGGTTTATTGGAAGAAAATTAGTGAATATTTTAAAGCTGGCAAAATTGTAATTAGAGCTTGCCCCTTGAGGACTCTAAAATAAAGCTTCACTAAATGACCCTTTGTAAATTATACACATCCCTTTAAATGTACCATCTGGACTACTTTGTCAGGGAGTATCCACAATGCCTCCAATTTTAGAAAAGCATTCAATAATGACACTAATAAGATTCCAGAGTAATAGAATTTAATTACAAACATCTCCAGTGAGAAAGGAAAAAAACAAACCTAGACCGGCGGGGGGGGAATCTTCCTAGAACACTTATTAGCTAATTCTGGGAAGGTGTTAGTTAGTTCTAGAAGGGTTGGAAATCAGAACAACATGAAATGGCCATTTCTTGAACTTCCCTAATTTTTTTTTTCCTAATTTTTTTTATATGAGAGGTAAAATATTATCATAGAGTGTGTTTACGAATGTGTGGTATTCAATTTATCAGTAAAAATTATATTTTAAAAAAAGGTTTTTTTAAAAAATTTTCTCGGATGTGGAATGTTACCTGATCATCTGCCTTATCCTGAAACAGCAGGATGTTGCAAAACCTTGACAATTAAGTGAAAAACCAGGTGCGCTCAAGAAATAGGATGTTGCCTTATCAGTAGAAGAATGTTTAGAGCAATACAGAAGCTAATGCATTCTGTGTCCAGTGGGGCAAAAAGAATTCTCTAACCAGAATAAGAGGAACAGTAGTGTTGACACGGTAGTATCTATAAATTATAAAGGAAGGTTCATAGCAAATAGCAAGAAAGACAGCAGCTAGCATAACTGATAGATAATTACAGGCTGGAGACAGACTATGGGAGTGAACAGTGTGTAATCTATTGTTTGATGTGATTATGCAGACACCAACAGGTACCTTTCTTGTATAGTAACATTTGGTTTTGAGTTAGAGACATTCAGAGGAACAAAGACCAACAACCTAGAAGAAGGAGTAGTGCCTGTATTTACTTATTCGATTATTGGATATTTAAGCTTTTCTTTATTTCAGTTGAGAGTGGTCCCAAATGCTCATAAGAGCAGAATATCTAAAGATGTTGTCAGTTTTCCCACTCTAAATATTTTCAGACCTATAGCTTTGACAGCTTCTATATTATATTAAAATAATTTTGTTGGTTTAAACTTTCAGTTGTCTGCCTTTATCCGTGAAAAAGCATCTGAAGCCAATTCTCTCCCACAAATAATATTGATCTATCATTCACGTGTATTTGTCTCTGCGTTGGAGTCTGTATAGAACAGGAATCTACAGGAAATGTAACCGGAGAATTACTTTCATGGGTAGAATTCATTTGGCATATGGTGAATGGAGTCAAAGTAACTGTTAAGAAGATGTCAGATTTATCAAGTTTTTTGTTTGTTTTAATCCTCGGCCTTCTCCCCCCGCAAAACATTCAGCAGTAAACTGAGAAAATATGCTTTGTTAACCCACAAGCCATCTTCCAAGCTGGCAGTGGATCGGGAGCTAATGAAAGAATACTAAGAAGTCTGAGGGTTTGTCACAAATTGTGTTAACCTGGCATCAGCCCGACGTTGCTTGCATTCTCATCAATTCGATGTAAAATGTTTTCATCAAGTCCAGAGTCAACACCGTGCACCTGGAAAGAGAAAAGAAAGTCAGAGGATCAGACTGACCTAATGTCATTGCCAGAAATAAATAGAATCACGTTCAGTTAGATAGCATATAGAAGTCTACCTTAGAAGGAGAAGTAAATTAATACTAATACAGTAGGAGGTTGGCAAAAAATACATGGGAGAATAGGGTTCAGAGGGCTTAATAAATCACAAGATGATTGTTAAACTGAAACAGTATCCTGGTTAAAAGAACCACGGTTATACTGGTACATATAAACTGGACCCAACTGAATTGATTATTTTCTCCTGAAGGCCAGTCATTGAGCAGTAATAGACCCGCCTCAGGGGGACTCTGTCGTGATCTCTGAGATGGCTGCAGCCAGTGGTGGTCTCACTAGGAGCTGTCATTTTAGTAGGGGGAGAAAAAGGACTGATTTAAAACATTCAGAACTTTTAAAAATCCCTAAAGAAAATCACCTCCAGAATCTCATAGGATACCCGTAAACCCAGCTTATGAGTAGCCAAGAAATTAAGAAGTAATTCCCCTTTTGAAATTTGGCGTGAGTCATATCATATTGTGTTATTGGAATTCACACCCTGAAGAAGGGGGATTTAGAGAAAAGCCAATAAGAAATGCTGTAATACCTGTGAAGATAGATTAGAAAAATTAGAATTAGAAGAAAGCCTGTGGAATGATTTATGGCTTATTAGGCAGGAGGCCCGCTCTGGGGGGGAGGCAATTATCACCTATCATTATCACTTCTTTCCTTAGATGTGCAAGGGTCCTCTTTAAAATATAAATGCCCCAAGGAAGGTTTTTATTAATTATTTAAAATTTTTTAAATCTAGTTTTGAGCGCCTTTAACAGGGTCAGTTGACAGCCAACTGAGACCAAGAATGAGATACAGAATTGGTAAACTGGTGTATTTTGGTCTTCCAAAACTAAAAATGGCTGCGCATCTGGAGGGGTTGAGGAATGTGCTATTTCTGAGAGAGGTAGTGTCTTCTGGATTGGAAGGTCTGGAAGTTGGGCTCTGGTATTGACCCACCAGCTGTCTGATTAAGAGTACACAGGCTTAAAGTGATGCAAAGGGACTTCTGTTTTGTAGGCAACTATTAATGCTTCCTAAGGAATGCCTTTAACACTAAGCTAGAGTCTCTTTTGCTAAGAGTGTTTAGCTGATAGAAGAATGAGAGGGTCATCGCCCTGTGGTCTCTGGAGGCCAGGCCAACACCATGTGGTTGATCTGATTAGGTTCTAACCACTTTGGAACATTGATGCTTCTTCACTCTGGAGTTTCAGATGGGCATTGTCTACCATTTGAGAACCCCTCATAGCAACAGCTGGCTTCCCTGCCCTGTGGCCAGCAATACTCAGGTCCAGCTCTGGCTTCTGTGAAAGAATTGGAGCCGTTCCCATGCTCAAGCTTGCTGGCAGCTTCATGGACAGGAAACTTGCTGAGCAGGAGGGTGAACCTCTAACAACAGCTTGCTTGGCAGCGTAACATACCATTCTGGGTTTTTGGTTTTGTTTTGTTTTTTCAATAGGTGATTAAGGCCATTGAGGAAGGCTATCGGCTGCCCCCTCCAATGGACTGCCCCATTGCACTCCACCAGCTGATGCTAGACTGTTGGCAGAAGGAGAGAAGCGACAGGCCTAAATTTGGGCAGATTGTCAACATGTTGGACAAACTCATCCGCAATCCCAACAGCTTGAAGAGGACGGGGACCGAGAGCTCCAGGTCAGCCGTGCTTACTTAATACTGATGTATGAAAGAATACATCAGAGATGGCAGGCAAGTGGTGACTCACTTCAATTCCCGCCGTCTAGTCAGAGGCCACTTCACAGCTGTCTGCAGCCTGGGTGGCTTCTTCCTCCTTGAGTATTTATGGTAGCTCTTTTCACCATTTTGAAGACCCTAGTGCTTGTCAGGCCTCAAACAGGAGTCAGAAAAACAAATTTAAAACAACAACAAAGGAATAGCTCAAGTGCTTATTTTGTGAGGCTGGACCTGAAAACTTAGGAAGATGGATGAAATGTACTTTTGGAAGATGGTCAGGTTACTAGATGCTGTATTTTGAAAGGGGAAGGAACGTGGAGTTAGGAAAAAATAAGAATTCGAAGACATCTTTAAGTCGACTTAATAAAGTGTGTATTGTAGCAAGAGATTCCTGGGTTTCAGTTCTTAAAGTTGCTCTTTGCTGAGTCTTTCAAGAGGGGAAGGAAACAGGACCAAGATAAATACTGATCAAGTTACAAAGCATGCAGATGAATATTTGAGAAGAGTTTTAAAAACTAAAATGATTGAATCACCTGTAAAATAGGTAGTTACTTCATTGAAAAGAGCAAAAAGAAGCATTTCAGTCCAGAAAGAAGATAAAGATACTGCAGGTCTTATAATTAATTCAGTAGGAACTTTTCTACCTGGAAATTGGGCTTTACTGGTATAAGATCCAGGATACCTAGATACCAGTCCCATTGACCATTGTTAGGAGTTAAATGGTTTAAGAAGACAGGCATCATAAGATCAGGTGATTCAGGCCCGCGGGAGAAGAGGCGTCTACTCATCTCCAGATCTGTGCTTCTCAAAGTCTTCTCTTTCATCAAGACCCTGAGTTAAAGGTAGGAAGACATTTTCCCCATAGTATCCAAGCCCTTCCAGTCTTGGCCAGCACTAGGATGCTCTCCTCCAGTCTTTTTCTTGAAAACTTAGCCTACAGATTGGAGGAGAAGGAATACGCTTCCCATTAACATATGTGAGGAAAAGAATTGCAAGTGAACAGCAGAGATACCCTGTGTTCTCTCAGGCTTTCAGATCCTGTACCACTAGCCGCCATACAAAGAGTTAATGACCATGCTCTCCTGAAATAACACCGGGCTGAATTCACATCTTCCTTCTGCCACTGGTAGCTGTGTGACCTAAAATAAAATCCCCCATCATTTCTGGTCTATTTTTGGTTCTTCTCTTCTCCAAGAGGGTGAAAATAGATGGCACTAAGGCCTCTTTTCCAGGTGTAGCTCATTTCTTTTATTCCAAAACTCCTCCAGCTTTTTATCTCCAGCTACAGATGCCACGTTATTTTGTCTGAAGGTTCTTTGGTACTTGGGGCTTCTCCTGCTGGTATAAGCTCTTCAGTTGCTAACATTGTAGAATGTGTGATTTGCACCAAAGTACAGAACAAATTGGGCACACTTTTCTCACTTCTAGATTTTTCTCATTGACGGTACTTAAGAGCTTTGATGCTTCTTACTGCTTGCTGATAATGGAAGGTAGTATAACATGGTATGTGATTCAGCACAAAATTAGGCAAATGTCACAGTGTTCCACAAAGAGCACAAAGACTTCCAGAACAAGCTTGGGAATGACCCTTAGAGTTCCTTCATTACTGAGTAAGGGTATTTTCATTCTAAGGTCATTTTGACCTTGTCAGGTACCTAGAGCCTCCATGTGGCCCTGTTAATGCTTTGGCTTAAAGTTAGAAGTAAATGCAAACTTTTGGTTTTTGTTCATTCATATTCCTGGTAAACATTCAACACTAATATCTAAAATTCTATGTGGCAGTGTTTGTTATTGGCTCAAAATTGGGAAAAGAATGAAATCTTGATGATTCTTACCATAAAAATCTGCAGCATTTTACTCAGAAAATCGGATTTAATTGAAATAATGGACAAAAAAACAAAGGTCACAAAGACAAGCTGTTATTTGAACACAAAACTGATTGATAAAGCAAGTCTTTGTTAACATATCGATATAAAACAAGAAGTAATGTGAATCAAGGTAATTTAGGTAACAATTAAAATGCAAAATGGATTGGATTAATTCTACTATGTAGAAAGTTAAGCCACTAGAGGGACTTAATTTTGTTTTTACAAGAAAAGGATTTCTTTGGTTGAAAATTCAGTAGTGATGATATAATTCTGATTTAAATGTTCGTATTCAAGCAGCGTAGTCTCAGGGTGAAAATCAGGTCAAAATGTTAAGATCAAACACATTCTATAATTTCTAGGGAAAGGGAGTTCAAGAAAATAGAACTTAACAAGTAGCAAGGTTGCTATACAGGTAATTATAATAAAGGTGGTATAAAATACCCTGTTAATGTCTACCTTATGATTATTATGTAGTTTGAGATGAAGATGACTATAATTCTCTTAATAAATACTTCCCAGAAATACATTATTTATTGTGTATCAATATCGTGAGGGATGACAGAATACTTGCCTTGAACTCTAGTCCCTCTTGACAGTGATCTAATGTAAAACACCTGGCCTGAGAAATGCATCAACTAATAAATAAGTTAATAAGAAGTGCTTGGAATTTGTTGAAATGATTCTTTTAGGAGCCCCAGCAAGGGAAAACGAGAAGCACATTCCACAATCCAAACAGTGATCAAAGTGGCCATTCTTCCTGCCAGTCTTGGCACACGTGCTGGTCAGGCTGCATTGATTAAAGAGAGGATTAACTCCCTGCTGTCCCAAGTTTGTTTGAATGCACTGAGCCTGCCTGCAAACCTGGCTGGAAGCATGCCGGACTTGAACTCTCGCTGTTTTCTCTGCTTCCATCAAGTCTGGCAGGTTGCAAGCTCACAGTTTTCCTTACTCATCCTTCACTAGGGTTTCCATAGTTGCTGAACTAAAGTCTGTGATATTCAATGCTGGCAGGGACTGGACCCTTCCTTCAAAGACTGAGCTGGTTTCAGCCACAAGGGCTCCCCCAATCTTTACCACAGGCTAGGATGTTAAAAGACCTGCTCTGATCCTTAATGCATTAAGAGGGCCACATAAAACAAATGTGGGAAGTGAAGTGAAGAACGAATAGGGTGATTGAGACATACTTTTGCAGCTTTATGAAATTAGGGGCGAAAAATCACATGACGACATTTGACGTTGGTGATTCCATCTAAAGCCCATTCTTGGTGCTTCGGTTCCCCTCGCCTGTCTTAGACCATTTGACTTCTGAGTCAGGCTGTCTCTCTAATAATTCTTGTCTGTCTACACTTGCTCGTTCCATTTCCAGACCTAACACTGCCTTGTTGGATCCAAGCTCCCCTGAATTCTCCACCGTGGTATCGGTGGGCGATTGGCTCCAGGCCATTAAAATGGACCGGTATAAGGATAACTTCACTGCTGCTGGTTATACCACACTAGAGGCTGTAGTGCACATGAACCAGGAGTAAGTACTCAGCGATGTAACACAAAAGGGTAAATCTAGATTTCATAGTATTTTGCTTCTTTTGCTTTGAGCTGCATAAGCATCCTACTCATTTTTTAAAAGAAAAGAAAACTGGAATGCCTTTCATTTTGATTGACTGAGTGTAATTTTGCACAGCCTCTATAAAGCACCTACATTGTTGCATTCAATTGCTTAATTAAACATTTTAATACACCTGCCTTGTTATGCTGTATTAACTGTGGCTGATTCAAATGCATGTCTGCATGAAGCCCAGAAAAGAGATTCTCAGCCCTCATCACGTTTTCCTCTCCCACTTTTTTCTCCCCCTACTTACAGTGACCTGGCCAGAATTGGCATCACAGCTATCACACACCAGAATAAGATCTTGAGCAGTGTCCAGGCAATGAGAACCCAAATGCAGCAGATACACGGCAGAATGGTTCCAGTCTGAGCCAGTATTGAATAAACTCAAAACTCTTGAAATTAGTTTACCTCATCCATGCACTTTAATTGAAGAACTGCACTTTTTTTTACTTCGTCTTCGCCCTCTGAAATTAAAGGAAAAAAAATATCTGCAGTGTTGCTTGGTGTACAGATTGCTGAAACTGTGGGGCTTACAGAAATGACAACCATCATTTGAATTAGACCTGGAACAAATTGTTTCTCAGAAGTCCATCCATCCATCACCAATTTGTAAAATACATGTACCTATATAAATAGAACACCGCCTCCGGTTTCAATGCCGTATTTGCTGCCAGACACTGAGCTTCTCCAAGACATCCTTGATCTTCTCTCCATTTGGAATTACAACCGTAGTGTTTTGTTTGTGGCATAAATTACAGTCCATCCTTCTTTCACTGGAATGAAGACCATGTCCATTTTTGAAGGACTCAGTTAAACTTTTAAGGCTTGGTTCGTACCGGGGATAAAACCTAGGTGAACGTCACGTGACTCACAGTGTTGCCGCCTGGTGCTCGGGCCACCTGGTGGATTATGCAGACACGCGGGGCTGGAGAGAAAAGGAAAGCGGATTTTAAAATAATAATAATAATAATAATAATAAAACCCAAGCACCATACCCCCTACCTGGACAAACGAGGTCTGTTTCTTTGTGCCATATAAGTCTTATCTGGGGACTCTACAGACTTACCGTAACTACCTTATGGATAGTGGATTGTGACAATCTTGTGTAGGGAAGTTTCATACTTTCCTCCTTTAAAGAAGCAAACCCAGATCTACAAGGTAAGGCAAAAGAACCAGCAATGAGTCCTTCTCCAATGAAAGCTTTTTTTTTTGAAACTTTATTTGAAACACTGAGCAGTAAATATCTTTCATGGCTATCAGGTAGTTTGGTTTTTTTTTTTAAGATTTCAGTCCTCTTGACATTGGGAGAGGAGACCCAAAGCAGTATGGCTTCTCTACTGTTCTTCCAGGAAGAAGTGAAATAGGAACTATATGAGGTCAGGATGGCATCTAGACCTCCACTGGCTGTGCTTTCTTTCATACTATGAGGGTCCTCTTGTCCTTTGGTGCCCTTCATTCCTGCCACAGATGCCTACTGAGCATCTTTGGGGTACTGGGTAGTAACCTCTAACCTTGTTGGGTCATGCACGTGCCCCATTCTTTGGAGAATTTGCTTCAGTTAAGGAGTACTGGAGGGTCTTTCCATGAGTTTCATTTTTTTCCTTCTTTTTTTTAATTTAATTTTTATTTTATATTGGAGTATAGTTGATGTACAATGTTGTGTTAGTTTCAGGTGTACAGCAAAGTGATTCAGTTATACATACACATATATCCACTGTTTTTCAGATTCTTTTCCCACAGAGGTTATTACAGAATACTGAGTAGAGTTCCCTGTGCTATACAGTAGGTCCTTGTTGGTTATCTGTTTCATATACAGTAGTGTGTATATGTTAATTCCAGCCTCCTAATTTATCCCTCCCCCACCCCTTTCCCCTTTGGTAACCATAAGTTTGTTTTTGAAGTCTGTGAGTCTGTTTCTGTTTTATAAATAAGTTCATTTGTATCATTTTTTTAGATTCCACATATAAGCGATATCATATGGTATTTGTCTTTCTCTGACTTACTTCACTTAGTATGATAATCTCTAGGTCCATCAATATTGCTGCAAATGGCATTATTTTATTCTCTTTATGGCTAAGTAATATTCCACTGTGTGTGTGTGTGTGTATATATATATATATATATATATATATATACACACACCACATCTTCTTTATCCGTTTCTCTATCGATGGACATTTAAGGTTGCTTCCACGTCTTGGCTATTGTAAATAGTGCTGCAATGAACGTTGGGTGCCTGTATCTTTTCAAAGTGTGGTTTTTCCGGATACATGCCCAGGAGTGTTCCTGTCCTGCTCCAGTAGCCCCTGTACCAAACTGGGTCAGCCAAGGAGGATTTACCTAGATGTCAATGGTGAGACTTGGAGGTCACCTTGACTGACTCATTATCAGAAAGTGACCTACTAAAAACATAGGCTTTTCATCCATCAAGCCCATTAGCCTTAGGTACTTCTATTTTAATCCCGGAATTTCTTCTTAAAACACGTGAATTTAAATGACTGTTCATTCCTAGAAGCAAATAGCCTAACTTTTTTGACTGGACAAATTTTTAACTCTTCCATTTTTATCACTTTTAAAGAAAAGCTTGGCTGATTTTAATGACCTTTCTCCCCCCTTGGTTTTATCCTTATAGAGCAAGGAATGTTAAATTTGATGCTGTCAAATCATGACAGTTTAGTAAAAACCTTTTTGCAACATTAGTTGTGAAAACTTTTCTGTTCAGAAGGAATGTGAAATTCGTTTTTTAAACTTCTCCAAGAATTTCTGTTTTATCACTGCTTTTGCTGAAGTCGGGGAGTTCTCGATATTCATGTTTTAACATGTTTTAACTTTTAAGTTGACAAATGTTGGGGAGGTTCGCTTGCTTTTAAAAAAACTATTTTTTTTCCTTCTGTAAAGCTGTGGGATATTCTGTTTTCAGTCCCCACAGTCCAATTCAAATAAGGTAGCATTATAGTGTTATCTTGTGAGTAAAAAGAGAATGTTACCTTGCACACATTGAATAATTAAAAGTTTTGCTTTCTTACAATTAACAGCTTAAGACTTGAGGTATTTTTCTAAACATTGAACATAGTCAAAGCAGAACGTTTTTAAAAAGAGAGTGTGTCAATTCTAAGATGTCCTAACATGTTAATGTAACGTATGGTGTTGGAGTGGGTTTGTTACATCTTAGCAGGTATCTCTGCAAATGAAATATTCGGTTGAGAACTGAGGAAAAGGTGGAATATGAAATTCATTCAGAGATGGCTTTCTGAATCTTAATTTTTACACATTGTCTGAGTTAGAGTCCAGGCCAATGGAAAGACCAAAAAAAGGCTTTCTATGTGTCTAAAATAATATCCAGTAGCAGTAAAAGTGGAACTCCACTGCTTCCAGGAAGTCATGCACGTTGAAAGAGAGATGTGAGGACAACAGGAATTTGTATTGTTTCCCAGGGTGTGGAGCCAGACTCTGGCATCCAGACAGCTTGGATTCCAAAACCAACCGAGATGTTGACAGTGGGAAGTTCACTCTGTGTTTCTTTATAACTCAGTTCCTCCACCTGTAAATTAGCGATAATGACACTTTAACAATAACACCTTTCCTAACACATGGTGTTGTTGTGTATATGAACTACTCCTATGTAGAACACACTGAACTTCACAGAAGAAAGGAGTACTCTTCCTCCAAGGTTTCCCAAGTGTTATTCACCCATCTTTCACTTGTGAACCCAAACGTTTTATTGCAGCGGGCCAGAGCGGGGTGAAATGAAGTGCAGCGGTAGGGAGCTATCCAGATGAAGCTTCTTCACTTTCAATGGATGTATGAGGGTTTGGGGGTAGATGTGTATCTATACAGAAGGTGGTAGACCTATCAAATCACTCCTGTATTATTTAGCCTTGAAATGTATGAAATTGTTATTTTATAATTGGGAAGAATGAAATGTACAAGTAAGACCCCATTGCAATGAAAAGAACTGCATGATAAAGACACTTTGATGTGTTCGTGACTGACTCAAAGGAACAAAGCTTTTGTTTATTTAGTCACCATGAAAGTCACATCTTTCACTCCTGATCCCACACAGACCACATGCTTTGTCTGGTCTCTGTTCAAGCAATTCCTCACGATAAAGGGGTTGCTTGAATTCAAGGAAGAAAAGGTTTATTTTTCTCCCTTTTATTCTGACATCAACTAGATATAAGCCTCCACATTCCCACACTTTTTTCATATACGCACTGAGTATCCAAATATCCCACTGAATATTACAAATATATTTATATCCAGGCATTTAGTGAAGAAGGGAGTTGTCAGACACAAACGGGACAAGCATGTTTTTGAGATGACCCTTTCTCCTCTAAGTAGCAAAAGAAAATCACCTTCAAAAAGTGTGTATATCCATATGGAGTTGGTTATTCTCCTTCAGAGTCTCTAAGGTCAAATTTGTGTCACTTTGTCTTTCATGTAAATACATGTCTGTCTGATGGAATCCCTGCACGTTCAGGTTTAAAATACTATGTTCAATAGAGTACTGATTTCCAGAGAAGAGTTGGAAAAATAGATCTGATCCTTTTCCTTTCATTTTTTTTCATAATTGTCAAAAATGAATGATGTTTACAAGTGACTACCTGAAGCCCTTGGTAGTTATGTCCTTACCCACATTTATAATTTTAAGTTGCTTAAGAAGTAATGTCTATCTGAATATTTTATACAAAAATTTTATTACTTTCTCCAAGTAGACTAAAGTATTTTCTACAAGTCTAAGGAATGGTCATTTACCTCCAAGAAACTAAATTTGATGTACCTCCCTCCCACAATAAACAACGCACATATACAAAATGAGCAGATACATTGGTTTGATAAAAGAAGGAAAATTATCTGTAATAAGATGCACTTTGGTCTGAATTTTTGCTCTACACTTGAGGCCACCAACAGCTAAACACGGCCACTGTGGTGGAAGATATAGTCCAAGAGCAACCTTGATGGAAAGTTATCAAAAGGAAAGAAGAGGAGTCGCTTCTTTTGGCTTGAGTTGATTATTTGATGAATGAGAGGACAGTGGTTCCATTGCATTGTGCCAGCCTTGTTAGAATCTAGGCTGATGGGGCGGCTGCGACTGTCTCTTGGTGGACTTCAGTCCCCAAGACCTCCCTCACTGTGCCCATGGCCCCGGGTTCCCTCTCTCTACCTGTTATATGCAGATTGCACGGATCCTTTACTAATTAGATACTCCCATTCGTTAGAAGTTACTTTCTCTTTACGAAAAACATCCAATGCTTTTTATTTCGTAGCTGGCATTTTTTCAATCATATTGTTGAATATTGGTGGATTGGGATGTTTCCAGATGTGTCCCTAAAATACACAATTTCCCTCTTTGGAACAACTGACTTTTTAGAGTAGTAGCATTTGCATCCTTTCAGCAGCTCTAAGCCCTTCTTGCACAAATGAACCATAACAGTTCAGAATTTTTATTTCAAAGAAAGGCTGTTTCCATAGTGGGTAAAGCTTGGCTGTACACTGACTGTATGGATTCTAATCCCAGCTCTGCTACTTCAGAATGTACAAACACAAGCAGGTTTTTTAACCTCTCTCTGTTTCCGTATCCTCATCCATATAATAAGGATATGAATAGTATCTTACTCTGAGTTATAATAATGAAGCTGTTAATAAACATTTTTATTATTATAGTTATCATTTTTTCAGAGGAGGAAAGTAAGAATCTATGATCTTCTCCCTGGACTCCTTACCGAGCCATCCTGCCTTCTCTGTACTTACACGGGTTGACAACTGGCTGGCGAGATAGGTTGATGTTTTGTCTGAAGTCTTGTTCTTTTCTCTCCAGGGAGTACATTCTGCTATCTTGGCCTCACAGCCCTTCCTTTTGATTACAAAGCCCACAGAAGCAAACAGAACACACCCTCCTCAGTTTCTCCTAAACGTGTTTCGTCTGCTTCTACTATGCCAGTTCTGGAGCAAAGACGCTGATGAAACAACACTCATTCCTGAAAAGAATACATTTCTGACTTTCAAATCCCCTTTCCCAGTGAAAGGAATGGCAAACATTCAAGCTTCAGCATCTGTTCTCCATTTGCACTGAGGAATGTCCTGTCTGGCAGCACCAGCTCTGCAGAGCCCCTGTTCCCCAGCTCCTTTGGTTTTATTTATATGTATTTCCATAGCTCATTTCTGTATGTCCCTGCTGCATTGGTGTGGCAGCAAGTGACCGAAGGCTACAGGTTTCACCACGGACACCAGGTCCGGTGCCACTACACAAAACGAAGCCAGTTCCCGTGAGCTGCCTACGATATGCATTGCTGAAGTAACGTTTTACCCAGGGTGTGCCATCGCAGTGATATAAATATATTTTTTTCCTAGACTAAATATGAGCTGACTATCTCTTTTGATGTGTGTACATAGGTGTGTGTGTGTGTGTACGCGTGTGTACGTGTGTGTGAGTATATAACCTCATGCTTAGACCTGCCTGTGAATGTTGCGGAATGCTACACGTGGAGAGGTCTGGTTTGCCACCAGTTCTGAGTTGAAGAGCCGCGTGAGATAGTGGGCCTGGAAACCGTGCCCCATCCCCTTAGAAGGACAACCCGGAAGTGTTAAATGTCCTGTATCTATAAGTGTATTTTGTAGCAGCCACGCTAACCTTAGTAAGTCATCCTACAGCTTTGGACAGAGGCATTTTCACCTTAGCGGTGGAGTGATTTTTAGAATATAAATCCATTCAGGTGACAACCCATCATCAAACTCACGAATGCTGATTGAACTCCTCATCTGAATCACCAGTTCCTTGGTGGAGGGAGAGAAGGGGATGGAATTTGTCTAGTAACCCCAAATGGAATACAAGTAGCCTTTGTTTTCCTGCATAAATGGACGTGTTGAATGCGAACAAATATATGCAATTCATATACTTTTGGAGATGAACGTAGACGCGTGTGTCGGCTTTGAGATGATGTGTCCTGGATTAATACTTTGTCTCCCAATATCACAGAAAAATACATGCCAGTGACTCTTGAGGTTGGCATAGTAGGGATGAAATGGCCTCAAGCAACTTCAGGTTCCCAATTTACATGGAAAGTTCGACTGTTATGAATATGCAGCTAACTTCTGTGGCCCTCAAAAGTGCATCAGCCTTCCGGAATCTGAGGTCCAGTGTGTGAAGATTCAGTTTTGATCTGATAATGTATACCAAAATCCAGCCAACATACTGCCAATTTTCATAATCGGAGTGGCTGCCTTGCTTATTCTAAGCTATGGTTGCAGAAACTGTGGCCATTTATATAAGCTATAACATCAAATCAGGGAAAAATGGGGGGAAAAAAAAAGATTCCAAACCTTATATTGTTGGATAAGTAGAGAAAATCATCAATAAATATTTATTACATTCTGACAGGGTGTATGGCATTGTATTCTCATGAGTATGCCAGAGTGACAAAGTTAATTCACCCCTTTTTGGGGACTTTAATATATTTCTAAAGGGATGTGCCTATGCATTGATGCCTGAAAAAATATGTATAAAGAAATGAGGTTGAATCTCTGAGTGGGTTTTCTTTCCCCAGAGGTCAGGGCAGGAGACCAACTTCAGGTGCTGTATTTAGCCCCAGGAATGAATGCTGCCCTAGTGAGCTCAGATGCTAAGTCATACTCAGATGCTAAGTCATTAGGCAGCATTAAGCTGTTCCCCTGCACCAAATCAAGTAGCTTCACCATGTGTTCGCTGGCCCCCAAATTATTTTTAACAATCTTAAGAATGAAATGTTTCGGTGTGTTTTAAAAAGTCCTTTTAAAGAAAAGTTATGCTCACTACACTACTGGTGTGTGTTTTTGAGACCTCTTGTATTCAATCTGTGAAGGATATGTGTATTAATCCATACACACTTATAGCCTCAATATTTGTCTGAAGACACTTAAATTCTGACAAGTAAAAGAAAGTTCTAGAAGCAATATTTTCACTTCCTTAACATTCTCCAAACAACGTCAAGCATTGGTACACACTGAAGAGTGCATTTATTTTTTGTATCACTCCAAGCATGTTGGAATATGCAAGGACTGTGGTTAAAATTAGAATGTATAAGGCATATTATAATTTAGTTCATACGGAAGAAGAAATTAACAGAACAATGCTTGGTTCAGCCATGTTCCAAAATTTGAGCGATCTCTTGAGTTAGACATAGAGATTTTTCTATTTTGTTTTAATTTGTCAAGGTATTTTGTTTTCCCTTCATGAACTTTAGGTACACATAACTTATGTCATTTATTTATGGTCTTTTATACCTAGTTTGTAAAATTGTAAAATAGCAAACTAAATGCAAAGAGTTTGCATTTGAAAATAATAAAGTAGTTGCCGTATACAAACGTGGAATCTAGTTGTCTCTTTTCAACAACTTTTGCCACATGCATCGTGTTTCTAAATTAATCGCTTGTTGTCATTTGGTTAGAACACAAAATCTTCAATTCTAATTTTGCTTATTTAGAGAATGAAAAGCGTTGATTTCTAAATGGTCCTCACCCTTGAGAACAACGTATTAGCAAATCTAACTTAGATTCCGTGAGATCCTGTATCCCACTGTAATTAAGACTGAACTTTGGTTAGAATTCAGTCTCCACCTCTTACTCATCATACAATCTAGGGCAAGTTTCTTAATTTCCCTGTGCCCGTTTCTTTGTAGAATGGCAATTACAATGCCAAGAGCTTTTATGAAGACTATATTCAAACGTTAGTACAATGTCTAGCATCTAGCCAGAACTCAACAAACAGTAGCTCCTCTGAGGATACAAGCTGTCTTTAACATTCCCAATTCTACACCCACTCTAACACCGTTGCTACTGATCCAAGTGGCTAGCTACGCGTCCCTACCATGAGCTTTTAATCCAGGATCCGTGGACCCTTGACGATACACCACTGGAGCTCCAAGGTGTCGAAAAGTTTTCTTAAAACATGGTGCAGTTGTTAATGATTATATGTGTGGTTTGATGGGGAGAAAGTTAATAAATTTTATCAAATCTTAAATTGGTGTAGGATACGAAAATATTAAAGGCCACAGTTTTAAGAATGGATGCTCTCCACATTATTTCATTCAATAAGCTACCATTGGCTAAGCCTTTGTTAATTGGACATGAGACTCAAAGACTTACTATAATAAATTAAAGCACTTAAGTGCAGCTAGCTTCAGAGAGTGGGGCATGCCTTTTAGTGTTACCAGGGACATTTTAAAACATGGGCCTTGAAATGAATCTGGGTGACATCTGGTTATTTCGTGTTTATTTCTTACTGAAACACCTCTCTAGAATCAGCTATACTGATATGTAGAGTAGCTGACAACGTATTTGTGATTGGAAAGAGACTAGGCTTGACATTTTCTCCCCGATTTGTTCAGCGAGATGGAAAAGCAACTGTGATTCTCCAGAGAAATAACTAATAGGAGATGTATCTCTATCTATATATGGAGATATAAAGATATAAGTATATAAAGACACTCTTTATGAGGAAATGGCTCACAAACTTATGGAGAATGAAAAGTTCCACAATCTGCAAACTGGATACCCAGGAAGGCCAGAGGTGTAATTCAGCCCAAGTCCAAAGGTCTGAGAACCAGTCAAGCCAATGGTAAATCCTTATCCAAGGGCAGGAGAAAATGAGATGAAATGTCTCAGCTCAAACAGTGAGGCAGGGAAAAAGGGGCGGGGTGGGGATTCCTCCATCTATATCCTAACATACTGGGTGATGCGGACCCACAGGGGAGGGCAAGCTGCTGAGTCCACTGATTCAAATGCTAATCTCAACTGAAAACACCCTCACAGGCGCACCCAGAAATGATGTTTAACCTGGGCACGCCATGGCCTATCAGTTTGACACATAAAATTAACCATCACGTTGTCGGTATTTTCCTCTACATTTTCTAGAATGAGCTGGTAGAGTGGTGTCAAAATTGCCACATGTAATCTTAATAATTATGAGATTTATTTCAGTGTAGTGCAAGCTGGCTTCTGACCCTATATTCTCAGCGGTGAAAACACTAAAGTTTTATTTCCAGCTCACATCACAGCCTGGAGAAGAGTCAGAGGATCTTCCTGGCAACTTTCCAAGTAGTGACTCAGGAATCCAAGCTCTTCCCCTCCTGTGAGGCTGCCACGTGTGGTGTCCAAGGCAACATGTAATGGGAAGAGAATGTGGATGATTGTCTTGAGGCTTTAAGGCCAGGCTTGGAAAGGGCTGATATTCCTACTTCCCTTCTTCATTGACCAGAACCCAATCACATGGGCCTAACCTGTTTGAAGGCTGGGAAGTGTGCACAGGAAAAAGAACTACAATGATTATACTTAGCCAGGCTCTATCACAAGTACAGCAGCCCCATGCACCTAGGGGAGGTCAGGGAAAGCTTCCGGTAGAAGGGAAGTGCACCTGTAAGCTTTGCCTGATCTCCCATAAACGTGTCCCATGGTCATTTCCCAGAGATGCAGACAAGCATCAGCAGACTTGTTACAACATTTTCATTGTCATCCTTATCTATCTGGATGCTTTAGGGATTGCATTTTCCTTTCTGCATCACAGATCTCTACACTTTGGCTACACACAACCTTCAGTTAATACGCAAAAGTACCTGCCTCTTAGGGTTTAAATTGCCTTAGCCACTCAGTTTCCCTAGGAGGAAAGGGGGGTAGGGAGCATAGAATAAACCCTAATGCAAGCAACAGATCTGAGGTGTTATTTTTTCCTCCAAATAAAGACACAACTAGAGTGTGTAAAACCACACCACCTTAACCCCTTGATGCCTATCAGATGGACATAACCCTGAAGACTTATTCTGAGACGTCTTCAGAATTAGAGACAAAGTGCAGGCTTAGAGGATTTCATTCCTTTAAACATTTGTGAACACAACGGCATGCCTGCCATGTACTAAACTGTTTATTTAAATACAACAGCCTATGACAGAAGCACTCTTACACCCATTTTATAGATGAAAACACTAAGGCATAAGTTGATTAGACAGCTGGTCCAAGGCCACCTTGCTAATAAGTGTTGGAATTTGGGATTTAAAGACAAGTAGTTGGACTCCAGAGATTGCTTGTCGCCTCTACTCCCACTGCCATACCACGTGATGAACCCGGGTTGCTCCCTTCTATCTTATTAATCAATTTGTCTGATGGGTATGTTCCAGTTTGATGATGATGTTACACGCCATTGTGAGCAGTATATCCGTCAGTGCATTCTTCCCTAAACACCACTTGCCTATTCTGGTGCCAGATGGCTTACTTTTGACAGATTTGTCATGTTAATTATTTTTGATAAACTCTACTGAAACAAACTATACCTTAAGCACAATGGTCACCTACACACTTTGTTTTGTGAGAATTAATTTTCAAAGT